ACTGGCTTCAAATCCCAGTGCTTCTATTTATGAGATGCAGTTGTCTCAGTTTTTCCCTGCAAAACAGGTGCAGCTTCACTGCACTTTAGAGATTTTTTTCTTTTTGAGAAGGAAATTTTTGCTATAGGGTGCGTGTGCTCATTGCAGAGAGACAAAGTGTGAAATCACCCTCCAGAGGGAATGGCCATGCCATAATCCTTTCTCCTAGATTCTCCTCTCTCAGGATTGTGGACGCACACACACACACACACACACACACACACACACGGTGTGAGTTTCAAGTCACTGGGTCCGGGACTCGAACTGTGGTTGGCCATGTAGGAATCCAGGGACATAACTACTATGCCATATGCTGGCACCACATTTGAGAGATTTTTAGGAGAGTACCTGTACAGTCAACCCTCTATAGCCATGGGTTCTGCAGTCACAGATTCAACCAACCTTGCATTGAAAATACTCTGGAAAAAAATCTGGGTGCATCTGTATTGAAAATGTATGGACTTCTTTCCTGTCCTTATTTCTTGAATAATACATTATACCAACTCTTTACATAGCATTTACATTGTATTAAGTATCATAAGTAATCTAGATATAATTTTTTAAAACTCTTTTAATTGTCAGAGAGTGTGTACACTTGCCAGAGAGAAAAAGGGAGAAAGCAGTCCCAAGGGGGCATGGTCAGGCCACAATCCTTTCTCCTCCATTTCTCCATCCTGTCAGGATTTGGGGCATGCTTGCACACCCAGTGTTTCTTGAGCCTTTGAGGCTGGAATTCCAACTCCGGTCAGCCAAGTGGGATCTGTCACCCTTAACCACTAGGCTTTGGGGCTGGCCCTGTAAAGACAATGTTAAGTATACATGTGTGTAGGGCTTATGCAAATACTGTGCCATTTTATATAAGGGATCTTAGCATCCACAAATTTCGGTATCTGCTGGTGTCCTGGAATCAATCCCCCATGGATACTGAGGAACAACTATCTAGAGGGATTGGGTACCATACCTGGCACACACATAACCAATGCTTTGCAGATGGAGGACCTGGCACGGCAAGAGGTGAAATGACTTTTCCTAAGCTGATGGTTTTCTAGTCCTGGGTTGCAGATCCTGCCTCATTTATAACCTGGGTGCATAATTGCCCACAAACAAGGAGATCCCACCTGTACTGGATGCCACTCTGGCAAGCTGTGTCCCTGTAGAAGCACCAGCATTGGCAGAAGACTGAGCAGGACCTACATATGCCTGATGTAAAGGAGGTCATGCTTATCACAGTCACCATGGGCTGCTTGGAAGAGCAGGCCTGACTGTTCACGAAGGGCGGAGTTATCTTGTTCGTGCCTCCTCCAGGGACAATCTGACCTGTGCTGAGCACAGAGCTAGCCCATGGGAACACTTGGGTTGAGTGGGCCTGAATGTGTTGGTTTCAAAGTTGCCTTCCTAACCTTGGTTATCCAGTCTGGCTCAGAGCACCCTGGGGCCAGGGTGTCCAGCAACCTCCCCTGCAGCCTTGGTGGCAGTGGGCAGTGCGTGGGAATCCGAGGCCAGCCAGCCCATGGCTCCCAGGGCAGGGCTATGCTGAGAAAGCCCAGCTGCCCTTCATGGTCCCCCTCAGTGTGCAGGGCCAACAGCCCCTTTTGTCTTTTTCAAAGCAAAAGGCCTTCTGAGAGGGTTCTAGGAAGCAAGGCCAGGACTCCTGGGTTCTCATAAATCTTTTAATAACAGTAAACGAAGAAAACACTGTAACAGTGGGTCCCATGGTGAGGGTTTCCTTTTCATTCAGGCATTGTCAACAACAGAAACACCTGAGGCTAAAATTCAGAATGCTAAATACACAAATTAATGACCATTTATTTCTAAAGGTGACTGCAGAAACCATTTCAATACAATCAAAAGGCTTTATAAAACAGAAAAAACATATTACAAAATGCCCTAAGAGGTGAGCAAACTGGTGGGGGCACTTGGCACCCCAGAACCAGACTTGCAGAATGGCATGGCATGGCATGGCATGGCATGGCATGACGAAGTGGAATGCCATATGGCTGGAACACAGGCTCTTCATGCGTGGTCCTTTTGTAAGTGTCAAGGTGAAGAGATGAAGCTGAAGATGTTTACAGGGCCCAAGGCCCATTTGCCCCACTAGGGAGCCTGGGCTTTATCTTCTAGGGGTCATACCGTCAGATTTGCATTTGGAAAAAGACTGTTGGAAAATGATTGTTGCAGGGGGCAGTACAGGCTAGAGCCGAGGTGGCAGCAGGTGCAGATGCACTTCTGGAGGAGAGATGGCAATGGCCTTGTCCCTGGCCTTTGGCTCTTTCTGAAAAGGAAGACCTGTAGAAAGGCCAGAGGACCAACTTTCCTTCCCTTCTCTCCACCGGACTCTTTCTGCCTTCACCACAAGTTAGGCCTTGTGTCCAGTCCCCTCTACTCCTGTCCCTTCCAGCTCTGTTCTGAGGCAGGCTGTCCAGGGCCAGGCCTGCCAGCACAGAAGGAAAAATGGCCTTGACTTTTCTGCTTTGTACAGTCAGTGGTCTTACCTTTTTCTCTTGCCTTCCACATAACTGCCCAGCACTCTGGGCCAGGGGCCCCAGGGCAAGGGTCTACCCAGTAGTCCCAGCACATCAGAATCCAAGCTGGAGCTCCAACAGGGTAGAGAGGAAAGCACATGGCTTTTAGGGTCTAACACAACTGGCTTCAAATCCCAGTGCTTCTATTTATGAGATGCAGTTGTCTCAGTTTTTCCCTGCAAAACAGGTGCAGCTTCACTGCACTTTAGAGATTTTTTTCTTTTTGAGAAGGAAATTTTTGCTATAGGGTGCGTGTGCTCATTGCAGAGAGACAAAGTGTGAAATCACCCTCCAGAGGGAATGGCCATGCCATAATCCTTTCTCCTAGATTCTCCTCTCGGGATTGTGGGCACGCACACACACACACACACACACACACACACACACGGTGTGAGTTTCAAGTCACTGGGTCCGGGACTCGAACTGTGGTTGGCCATGTAGGAATCCAGGGACATAACTACTATGCCATATGCTGGCACCACATTTGAGAGATTTTTAGGAGAGTACCTGTACAGTCAACCCTCTATAGCCATGGGTTCTGCAGTCACAGATTCAACCAACCTTGCATTGAAAATACTCTGGAAAAAAATCTGGGTGCATCTGTATTGAAAATGTATGGACTTCTTTCCTGTCCTTATTTCTTGAATAATACATTATACCAACTCTTTACATAGCATTTACATTGTATTAAGTATCATAAGTAATCTAGATATAATTTTTTAAAACTCTTTTAATTGTCAGAGAGTGTGTACACTTGCCAGAGAGAAAAAGGGAGAAAGCAGTCCCAAGGGGGCATGGTCAGGCCACAATCCTTTCTCCTCCATTTCTCCATCCTGTCAGGATTTGGGGCATGCTTGCACACCCAGTGTTTCTTGAGCCTTTGAGGCTGGAATTCCAACTCCGGTCAGCCAAGTGGGATCTGTCACCCTTAACCACTAGGCTTTGGGGCTGGCCCTGTAAAGACAATGTTAAGTATACATGTGTGTAGGGCTTATGCAAATACTGTGCCATTTTATATAAGGGATCTTAGCATCCACAAATTTCGGTATCTGCTGGTGTCCTGGAATCAATCCCCCATGGATACTGAGGAACAACTATCTAGAGGGATTGGGTACCATACCTGGCACACACATAACCAATGCTTTGCAGATGGAGGACCTGGCACGGCAAGAGGTGAAATGACTTTTCCTAAGCTGATGGTTTTCTAGTCCTGGGTTGCAGATCCTGCCTCATTTATAACCTGGGTGCATAATTGCCCACAAACAAGGAGATCCCACCTGTACTGGATGCCACTCTGGCAAGCTGTGTCCCTGTAGAAGCACCAGCATTGGCAGAAGACTGAGCAGGACCTACATATGCCTGATGTAAAGGAGGTCATGCTTATCACAGTCACCATGGGCTGCTTGGAAGAGCAGGCCTGACTGTTCACGAAGGGCGGAGTTATCTTGTTCGTGCCTCCTCCAGGGACAATCTGACCTGTGCTGAGCACAGAGCTAGCCCATGGGAACACTTGGGTTGAGTGGGCCTGAATGTGTTGGTTTCAAAGTTGCCTTCCTAACCTTGGTTATCCAGTCTGGCTCAGAGCACCCTGGGGCCAGGGTGTCCAGCAACCTCCCCTGCAGCCTTGGTGGCAGTGGGCAGTGCGTGGGAATCCGAGGCCAGCCAGCCCATGGCTCCCAGGGCAGGGCTATGCTGAGAAAGCCCAGCTGCCCTTCATGGTCCCCCTCAGTGTGCAGGGCCAACAGCCCCTTTTGTCTTTTTCAAAGCAAAAGGCCTTCTGAGAGGGTTCTAGGAAGCAAGGCCAGGACTCCTGGGTTCTCATAAATCTTTTAATAACAGTAAACGAAGAAAACACTGTAACAGTGGGTCCCATTGAGAGGGTTTCCTTTTCATTCAGGCATTGTCAACAACAGAAACACCTGAGGCTAAAATTCAGAATGCTAAATACACAAATTAATGACCATTTATTTCTAAAGGTGACTGCAGAAACCATTTCAATACAATCAAAAGGCTTTATAAAACAGAAAAAACATATTACAAAATGCCCTAAGAGGTGAGCAAACTGGTGGGGGCACTTGGCACCCCAGAACCAGACTGGCAAAAGTACCCTGCTGCTGTTTAGGGGGTGATAGAGACTGATTCTAAAGGGAACCACTGTGTGGGGGAAGGGGTCAGGGAGGGGTCTGCCCAGTGCATAGCAATCCCCACTTGGGACCAAGGAAAAATGGGGGGTGGAGGGGGGTGGTTAAGAGGGACAGAGGCTTTTGCCAATTTCCTGGCAAAAATCATTATAGATCATCCTATCATATTCTCTGCACTACAGTAACAATATAAATGACAAATTCATTAAAATATTACACAAAATTGACACCAAAAGAATGCAAGTTTCCAAAACAACAGCTTTGCTTGAAGTGACTTTTGTTTTGTCTGTTTTTCATGTTTTTTTTTGTCTGTTTCATGCCTTGAGTAGCAAACCAGTGTATACAAATGTCACAGAGAGCAACAGCAAGCAACTAAGTTTTCCTGAGCACGTATTGGCTCACTCTGTACACACAGAGGCAGGCCCTCTCTCTCTATCTGTCACAGAGGGCAGGACAGGCAAAGGAGGTCCTGATCATTCTGGGGTCCAGCCAAGGAGCCAACAAGGGCCTGTGGAAAACTCACTGCCAAAACCAGTACCACTGTCCTATTCCACAGTGTCACACATAGCCCCTTTTTTTCTCCTTCCCCACAACCCTTTTAGTAAAAACCATTAAGAAAACACTCTCCTGAAAGGCGCAGATGACTCTGGGTAAACATCTACAAATCCAGGGAGGTCTTTTGGGCAGAGGGAGGGAGGGAAAAGGCCTGCCCAATCCCAATAGAGTGAACCTGCTGGCAGACCTGCCATCTGTGGGGAGCTGTGCCCACTTCACAGAACATGGAATCGTCAGTGATCACAACTAACAAAGTCCTGGCGGAGACTACAGCAAAAAAGGATGCCCTAATAGCTAGACTGAGGTACTGTACGGTCAAGTGCGCCAATCACCCTGGTTAACCTGATGACCCTGCAAGCAGCTTATATGAATGCTATGACAACTGAAGAGGAGAGAATGCTGACTTGGCGAGACTGAATCTGTAGCTCCAGAGCCCCGCAGTGCCCTTCCCCACTGACTGTGAACCTATCACTGTGCCTTGGGGAGGAAGATGGGCCAGATCATCTTTGGTGTACAAACCCAAATACTGCAATGGGGAGGACCCCAAGAAGGGATGCTCACCTCTCTGCCATTCAGAGCAGATGCCGAGTTGGCCAACTCACTGGCCCAGACCCTTGGCCAAGGCTACCTGGAGGCATGAGGGACCACTCTTTTCCCTTCCTGGTGCTGTTTTAAAGGAAACTGTCACTTCACAACTGTTCTCTCTTTCATGCACAGAGGTCCCACATAAATGCTGGTAAATGGCATACAGAAAGTTGGTTGGGGTGGTGGGGAGAGGGGTCTATAGAACCACCTTGGCACTGATGGGAAAACCCTGGGGAAGAACTATGAAGCCAGAGTCCACTGATCACTACGGGTGCAAACTACAGCTTGTCCCTCCCTTCTGTGCTATAGCTGGGCAGTAGCAGCCTGGCTTTTGGGCAGGGATGGGGATCATTCTCCAGGGCAGGCTGTCATGGGTCTGGCTAGGTCACCTCCCTACACAAGGGTTTGCCCAAGGTAAGAGGGGAGATACAGACTAGTTCAATGCCTGCTGCTCTCCAATACCCCCCATAAAGGCCCCTGATGCCCTAGAGTCTATGGGCTGCACCCACTGTCTATTCCTTTGTCCTACAGGTGTCTGAGCCAACCTGCATCTCCTCTTCACCTCTCCCTCCACCTGACTGTGGGCCTGGCCAGGCCAAGTCTATGGCTTTCACTTTCTTCTCTCCTTCTGAGCACCAGAAAGTACCCACCAGAATGAGGGGCTGAGCTGGAACCAGTGCAGAGGCCAGCTTTTGGAGATATGCCAATGCAGGGAAAGTCTGAGCAGACTGGCAGGCTGTGCCATACACTGGGACAGGTAGGAAAAAAGGGTCTACATACAAAGTCACAGCATTGGGTATTCTGGAGCTGGTCCCCAGCTGAGACACAAATCTCTTGCCCACAGTAACTCCATGTTCTGGTACAGGACAAGCCAGGCCCCCAGAGGCTCCTCACATGACTACCTTTCAATGTCCCTTTTAGTCAAGAAGACAAAGGACACTAAGCCCTTACACATTCCTCATTCTATGTTGAGCAATTTGACACTGGGCAGGGTGGGCCCAGCCACTCAGGAGGTGCCTCTCTGGAGGGCAACCCTGAGTGATAGGCACTATGAAAATCTTAGCCCAAGACTCAAAGACAGTAGAAAATGAAGGTGACATGTCCTAAGGAGCTCAAGGGGAGCTAGGATATGTGATGTTCTCCTTCCTTGTCCGCAAGCCCTGGGGACTGCTGCCTCAGTGCCAGCAGGCCTCTGCAGAAGGATGCCCTCCACCCCCAGGGTTGCTTCCCTGAGTCTCAGCTTATTCAGAGGGAATAAGAATAAGGAGAGAATGCTGACTTGGGGAGACTGAGTCTGTAGCTCCAGAATCCTGCTTATTCAGAGAGACTTTTCTGCATTTTGCCACTTCTTGTGTTCTGTTTGCTAAAATCATGACCACTGATCAATGAAGCTCAATCTAGATCTAATATGGTCAAATTTGAAATACCAGAGCTTGTCCAGGGCAAGTAGGTTGCCTAGAGTAAGAGAGGGGGAGAGGAGGTCACTGAGTGATCTTTTGTGTTCGTAAGCCTATCTGTTTCCAGCAGAGGCAACAAAAAGTCAGCAAATGCCCAGCCACTGCCTCCCTTCTTGAGGCCCATGCATGACTGAGCTCAAATCTTTCAACAACAGCCCCTCCCTTTGGAGCACTTGAACCTCCACCCATGAGTTCCTGATTCCTTGGCAGCTGCCTTTCAACCTGAACGTGGACTTTGGGGGTGGTCGGGGGGAAGGTGAAGTGCCCCCATATTGAAGAATTCAGCACTGAAACCTGGCTACACCAAAGAAATCTGGACCTAGGGAAACAGTGCTGGCAGGAACGGTATCTTCCCAAACCCAGGATGCTGATATACCCTGGAAAACCAAGAAATGGATCTAAATGGATCTACAGGAGCCCTTTTAGAAATCGGCCCTGATGCAAGGACTGTCCATACGCAAACATCAAAAACAAACAAACAAAAAAAAAAATAAAAAAAAAACAAACAAATAAAAAGAATAAAGCAAAACCAACTCTAGCTTGTTCTTTGCTGAAGCTGCCTTTGAGAAAGGAGAAAAGAATGAGATGGAGAGAGAAAAGGACAGAGAAAGAAAGAGAAGGAAAAAGTGGGGAGAGAGAGAGGAGAGGCACATTTCAGGGGCACTCAAGGTTAAATGGTATCTATTATCAACATTAATACAGAGTGTATGATTCAAACCAATTTTCTCAAGTTACCACTTCTGTTGATTAATTTCTATGCTCACTTCTGACTGGGAATATGGGTCAGTTCTTGGCTCTTACAGACAGCATCTTGCCTAGTACTATGTACCTTCTTCACTTTGGATTTCCCATTGCAATTGCTCTCCAGCCCTCTCAGGGAAATCTGGCCTTGGGTGGGTCATGCTCCTGCCTCCCAGCTCGGGCAGCCTCCTGGAGGGAGTGGCTACTTTGCTGCTTGCTTTGAGTCATGGGACAGCAGTGGGAAGAATCTGGCCAGTTCTCCTTTGGCCATCAGCTGGGAAATTCCTGGGCTCTGGGCTTGACGCTGGTATAGAAACAAGGCCTCAGTCCCCTTATGGTGGAGGCTGTGCTGGAGACTAAAGGGGATCCCAGCATAAGCTTGGAGGTCCCTGGCAGTGGAGGGATGAAGCACAACCCAATCTCATTGCTTCAAAGCTGAAAGAACTACTGCTTATTGTTCCCTTTCTCCTCAACCAGCTGTTGTTGAAGCACCAACAAGCAGAGTAGAAGAGCCACTGCCTATCATCTCCCATGTAAGGCCACTAGGAGCAGGAGAAAAAGTGAAAGGGAAGGAGAATCCATTCCCCAGCACTATACCACAGGCTCAAGGAAGCATCCTGGGGGAAAGAGCTGGGGAACGAAGAGGGGTGGAAGAAGGGACAGAGAGGAAGAAAAAAGAAATACACCAAACACCCTACTGCCCTCTCCCATGATTTCATCAAGAACTGGGTGTTCTCCAAGTCAAGTCAGAATTGCCTCCTCAGGGAGAAAAACAAAAACAAAACAAAACAAAAACAAAAACAAAAACAAAAACAAAAACAAAAACCAACAAGCACCTTCAGTCTATTTTCTTGGCTGGAAGCCGGAGCAAATCCAGCAGATATTTACACAAGGGCCCAGCCATGTATGAGAACAGGATGACCAGCTTCCCGTGGGTCATGGTCATGAGAGTCTGGTGTCCCGAGGCCCAGATGCGATACCAGGGGCCGTAGAATGGGTCTGAGATGGCCGGACACAGCATGTTGTTCAAATTCACTTCGGTGACCTGCAGGGACAAGGGAGGTAGAGTGAGCGTTCGCCATCTGTAGGCTTTCTCTGGCTTCTGCCAGTTCAGCCATCTCTACCTAATAAGGGACTGGACAAGGAGGGATTGACCAATCCCCACCTGTTCATAGAGGGCTTTCTCTCCCCTAGGCTTTATGAGTGGGTCAAGGCCAGAGCCCTAGGGAGGTGATGGGGGAGGGACATCCAGTGGAAATGTTGTTCAGTGTTGCTCAGATCTTGCTTCTGGTTTGGCCCAGAGCCCATTGTCTTTCTTAAGCATTTGCTATGTGCCTGGTCCCCAGAGAGGTGGTATGGGAGAAAAAAGCAGTCAATAACATGGTTCCCTGCCTCCACAGAACTGGTAATTGATCAATTGGGTGTGACCGGTTTACTGCATCTGACCTCAAACCACACAGTTCTCACTGAGTTTTCCACACCATGAGGAGATCTGAGGAGCAGACAGAATGGGTCTGAGTCCTCAGAGAAGATTTCATGAGGGAAGTGGCACCTGAATGGACTCATGTAAGATGGATGGGGGTAGTGGTGGTGGAGGTGAGGAATGGGGTGGGCAGAGCCTTCCTTATAGGAGACATGGCCTGGGCATGGGATGTCATGGGTGACATGAGCACACTGAGGCCTCTGGAATCTTCAAGGGAGGGTAGCAAGAGGTAAAGGTGTGAAAGCCGTACTGCTTCCTCCCATGAACATGGGAAGTGTTCACACTATACCCTCCGGCAAACCAGAGCACAGCCATACACCAGGGGTGGGGAGAGAATGTGATTGCTTCTACCAAGGTGCTGGGACATCAGTTACATGCTCTAGTCATGCTAGGTTGTGTGAGGCTCCACGTGGCTAATGCTACCTTCATGCCGCGCGCACACAAAGCCAGACATGTGCCCAAGGTTGGCCGCAGCCCCTGCCTTCTCAAACCCTTCAAGCATGTTCACTTTAAAGACAAGTTCTCAACACCTCTCAGGGATGTTGGGGCTTTTAATCCATGTCACTGAGAGGTGAGAACTCTGCCCTTGAAGGTGAGATGATTCACTCTGAACAGGGTAGAGCCCGGAGTTGAACCTGGGTCTCTGACCACCAGCCCTAGCGCCAAGCTCTTCCTGCTCATCCTGCCACTAACATGCACCCTTGCACTCAGCAATCTTGGGTTCTGCATAATTCAACACTGAGGGCAACCATTCTCTGTGCTCCAGGCAGTTCTAACACCCCAGAATGTCACGGGAGCTCCCCGACACAACACTTCCCAATGGTCACACAGCACAGGGCAGAACCTGCTGAAGGGCCTGAGAACAGGCCCAGAATGGATCCAAGGTCAGAAGCTTCCCCTAGGCCCAGGGCCAGGGTTAGGGTTCTGCTTCCCCAGGGGGTTCAGAGCAAACCACTTTCTAATGGCAGCTGACTGTTTCTGACCCAAGTGGCCATGAACGAAGGGTTTCCTTGCCTCCCCAGGGATGAAAGAAACAGTCATTACTGAAGGATTCAGAAAACTCTTTGGAGAGGCCAAGGCTATGGATCATAAATCAGCAATCCAGACACAACAATCTGACGTCCCGGCCTTTAGCATCTTGTATTTTCAAAACAAAACGATACAGCAGCGCCAACCAGGATTATCCAGATTTATGGAGAACTCCAAACAGAGGGGATAGAAGGGGATATAACCAAACTTACCAGGCCGAGGATCTGCAAGATGCTGAAGTGATAAAAGAACATGAGGCCAGTTGAGAGCAGAGCCCACTGGAAACTGCTGAGGGGCTCTGGGGTGTAAGCACCTAGAGGAAGAGGGTAGACAGTGAGAGGCAGCTGGAGCAGTGGCCCACTTCTCCTCCTTTGCCCTGTGATGGTGCAGGTTCTGCTGCCTGCTGATTGCCCCCTTCAATGTTCATTGGCAACTACTCAAGAGACTGACCTACTGGGACCAGCAGTTAGCGTAATGGCTATGTCGCTGGACTCCCATGTACTCGACCATGGTTCAAGTCCCGGACCCAGTGGCTTAAACTGACGCTGGGCGCGTGTGCATGCGTGCCCAAGATCTCGAGAGGAGAGTGGAAGAGAAGGGATTGCAGCATGGCCATCCCCCCCGGGGGGTGGATTTCTCACTTTCTGTCTCTCTGTCTCTCTCTCTCTGTCTGGCGAGCGCACACACCCTATAGCAAAAACCTCTTAAAAAAAAAAAGAGAGAGAGACTGCCCTACTGATTAGTAGCCTCTTCCTGTCTATATTCTGCCACTTGCTGCTGGGGCCATTACAAGGAAACATTTTATTGTTGCAATGATTATACAACTGATATATACTTGGACCGGACAATAGTGCAGGGATAAAATGTGATGTCCTTTGAGGCTGACCCACATAGGAAGGTTCTGGGTTCGTATCTGAAGACCTTCCTCAGTATGTCAAGCATGAGCCTGTGATCTGAAGCTGGCTGAGGATGTGGGTAGATCAGGGCAGTAAGACCCTGTTGAAGATGCTGTCTCTGGGTCCCTTGATCCCTCATGGACGATATAAATTAATGAACTTTCTAAGAAGAAGTAGTACATACTAATTAAAGGAAATTTAGAAAACGTTCAGAAATAGAAATAAGAGAAAGGAAAAGAAGAACTCAGCCCAGCACTCTGCTACCGGAAGGCAACCACTGCTTACACAAGAGGCTATCTCCTTGATCTCTTTCTCTATACCTCAGGATTTTCTTTTCTTTAATAATTTCTTTTTTAAATTAATAATTAATGTTACTCTCTTTTCAATTGTATATCCTTCATTTCCACATTTATTTCCTCATATTTCTAAAGATAAATATCATTGAGGAAGTATGGAGTAGTAGTGGAGGTATGAACCTCATTTAAAGTCAGACACATTTGAGTTCAAATCTTGACTCTATCACTTACTGGCTGTGTCTGTGTGCCTCTGGAAAAGTTGTTTAAAACCCCCAAATCTCATTTTACTTGCCTGTAAAATGAGAATAATAGTATTAGCCATTTCTTAACATTGTGAGGAGTAAATGAAACAGTATATTGACAGCTCTTGGTTTAGGGACTAGTATAATGTAACTCTTGAAAGCATGTTAGATGCTGTTATTATCATGATTTTCTGAATAATTGAAGAACATGGTGTATCTAATGGTTGTGTCATTTCCTAACTACTATACAATTTCTTCCCCCAGGAACACCAAAAATGATAGTTTCCCTCTATTGTTGTTAAGGAGTACCATGCCAGAGCCTTGGATGTATGCCAGAGTTTGCATAGTGAGGGTGTGGTTTTTAGGATGTTGTAGGTGACACTCAGAATGGGGACCTGGATGCCTGGATGGAAGGGACCTGAGACTCCCATGCCAAGCAAGTAGGGGTGACATCACATCTAGATGCAGTATTTTTCCCAAGTCAGTCACTCACTGATGATCCATTCATTCAACAGCTTTAGGCACCAAGACTATTCCAAGCCTTGTGCACAGCTTTGGGAATAAAAAGATAAAGAAGACAGGCTCCCTGCAGTCTCAGACTCACAGTCAACAGTAACAACACACTATGATTGAGGGGGATGACTGAGGACAAAATTCAGCCTGGTGGGGAAAATAGGCTGGTAGAGGGAGCATTGGAGCAGAGTTCTGGGGGGGCAGGACTTAAGAGGGCTGACTCCAAGGCAGCCGCCCACATGGAGGCAGACATGAATGGGGCAATTCTGAGAACTATGAGTAACAGTTTAGTGGGGCCACAGGGGACAATGTGATGGAGTCAGTAATCAGGGGGAAGACTCAGTGTGTAGCAGGGCTAGTCTGCTTCAGGCTGACCCACTTAGGACTTTAGGAGCCATGCTGAGGGCTTTGGGCTTCATCCCATGTAGCCAGGTCATGAGCTCAGATGCCTCAAGTCTCAGGCAGGTAACAAAAGCAGAGACATAACCAGGGTCTAAGTGACATTAGGAGAAGCCGGAGACTGGCAAACTTGAAAGTTCATACCTCTTCTAAAGAGGGCAAGTACCACTTGGCTCCACACAATCACTACCCTGCAGGGATGTGGGCCTGGTTACCAGTTTCTTCACTTTTGCAAATGAAGTTAGAAATATGAACTTGTATGTAGAATTTCCTGATTTTCACATGATGGTAACTAATTCAAAACATTTTAAGAATGTTCAAAGGACTAAATGAAACATGTCTTCTGAATGGATTTTAGCCCATGGGCTCCCAGCTCTGGTGCCGAGCCACAGAAAGTAGTGGAAGATATGAGGCACGTAAATGATAAGATCATCCATGTCTTCATGAGAGATTGCTCTGGACAGAGTGCAGGGGCCACACTGGAGCCAAGATAGTCAAGGCAGGGAGACTGGTAAGAAGACTGTTGCAGGGGACTGGAAAAGTGGCACAGAGGTAAAATACAGGATTCTTGATGAGGTAATCCCACATGGGAAGGTTCTGGAGTCACATTACAGAGACCTCTCTGAGTATGCTGGGTGCACATGTGCCTGTGATTTTGATTAGGGAAGGGTGCTGGGAGTGGACTGTAGCATCAGGCCCCTGTCGGGGGTGCTTATTTCACTCCCTCTCATTTGTGGAATAAATAAATTAATAAATGGAAGAGGAGGGAGGAGAAGATCAGGAAAAGGAGGAAGAACAGAAAGCAGGAAGAAGAGGAAGATGAGGAAGAGGAGAAAGAGGAAGAAGACACCAACTCGTGCAGAAACCCCAAGAGAGAAGAGCATGGCCTTTGAAAGGACTAACAGTGGGGTGGGAGAAGAGGGAAGAAAGCAACTACCAGGATGTGGTAGAATATTGGTTATTGGGGCACAAGAGAGAGGAAGGATCTTAGAAGATACCTGGAGTTCTAGCTTGAGCATCAGTAGGTTGATGGTACCATTTTTTTGTGATGGAAATAAAAGGAAAAGGAAGACTGAGACAGAGGAATAGGGAAGTGATGTGATCAATTTTAGAGATGTTGAAATTGAGGTGTTGGGCTAGACCCATGCCCTAGTAGTTGAGGGAGCCAGATCCCACATGGTATATTGCATGGTTTGAGTCCTGGATTCAGCAGCTTGAAAAACACTCCTGGAATGTGTGCATGTGTGCCCCAAATCCCGACAGGATGGAGAAAAGGAGAAGGGCTTATGTCATGACCATCCCCCCATGGGAGGGGGTGCTTTCTTGCTTTCTCTCTCTCTCTTTGTCTCTCTGTCTCTCTCTGGTAAGTGTATGTACTTCTGGCAGTTGAAAAAAAATGATTAAAAAAAAGAAGAAATGGAGGAGCCTATGGAATATCCAATTGGAAATGTCCTGTAGTGGCTAGATGTACTCTAAGACATCCCATGTAAAGGATCAGAAATGTGGGTACTGGACCTCAGCAGGTAGAAGTTTTTAAATCCTGGATTCCTAAGTTATCAACTTTGAGGCCTTGGGTAAGTCTCTCTCTCTCTCTCTCTCTCTCTCTCTCTATATATATATATATATATATGTGTGTGTGTGTGTGTGTGTGTGTGTGTGTGTGTGTGTATTAAAGATACCTAGATTGAAAATGAATAATTACAATTATATTTCTTCACACATGTCAAGTTTATTTATTTACTTCATGAGTGCTGAGAGAGATAGAGAAACAGCACCCCCAACAGTGATCATAGGCAGGCATATGCCTGGAGTACTCAGGGAAGTCTTCAGTCATGAACCCAGAACCCTCCCATGTGGTCAGCCTTGCAGTCATGTTTTACTGCTATGCCGCCATCCAGCCCCCCTAAGTACTTCCTGAACTAACTTTTATTCATCTATACAACGTGGCAGCACTGGGACAGGCAGATGGTATAATGGTTACATTGCTGGACTACCACATGTCGACTGTGGTTCAAGTCCCAGACCTGGTGGTTTAAAACTCACGCCAGGCACGTGTGAATGCATGCCCAAAATCCTGAGAGGAGACTGGAGAAGAAGGTATTGTGGTGTGGCCATCCCCCCTGGGGGGTGATTTCTCACTTTTGTCTCTCTGGCAAGTGTGTGTGCCCTGTAACAAAAATCTCTCTAAATAAAAATGTAGCAGCACTTCCTAATGCAAAAGATATATTAGAAGAGATGAGACAATATATCATAATTATAGTATTGTATCTGAGAATTAACAAATGCTGATTAATTAATCACAAGTCACAAACTCAGTAAAGAAAATTAGGCCGAACATCTAAATGGAGGTGTAATCAGTACATAGTCGTCAGAATCATGGGAGCATAATTAGAGTAAGAGAGGAGGAAGGTTAGAGATGGAAGCCTAGGAGCACCATGTAGGGAGGGAAGAAGAGGAGTGGAGTGACTGGAGCCAGAAAGGTCTTCTGTAACAGGATCTCAGGCTTGCTCCGGATACAAGAGACAGGCTCCAGCCATATCTGAGTCAGAAGGCCCTTTTAGGACATTGATCTCATCTCTCCACTTCATATATGGAGAAACTGAGGCTGAGAGATAGGAAGTATCACAGCCAAAGTTATGTCAATGGAACACTGGGGAAATGGACTCTCAGACACTGCCAAAGGACTCAATGCTCAATGCTCCTGTTGTCACTTGTGAAAACTTTCAGCACACCAAATCCTAACTATACATTTCCTCCACTGCTCCCCCTCTAGGCCAAGCATGATTCCTCAGGGTGGAGGGCCAATGGGCTTTGCCTCTATATCCCCAGCATCCAGCAGTGCTTGGTTTGTGAAGATGCACTGAGCCCCTGCCAGCTGATGAGTGGAGCTGGGCACCATGGTGTCACCCTGGCTGCTGGGGACACAGAAGAGAGGGGACCTGCAGGACCAACAGGTGCTTAGGCGGA